AGCATAGTAAGTCATATATTTGGTATTACGGATATAAACAGGAAAGACACGGCTGAGACTGGATCTAGTTGGCTGACAATAGGTTTTACCACAGACGTGGTCCATGTAGCAAAGGCTTGACGAGACTTACTCAGAGGCTTTAGTCTCGAATAAGTCACCCAGGCGCATGGGAGAGGTAATAACGTCTCAAGTAGCACAGATGGGGTGGCGGGGGTCGAGTGTATTACGTGAACGAGGGATATAACAGACGGATCTTACGATGCGAGAGACTGTGATAAGACCTAGGAAAGGAGGACTGCGTAACAATGACAGGCTCTGATCAACATTCCCAGCACAATGGTAAAGGGAGTGAGAACGACCGCGTGGATTGTGAAGGGTTTTCATGAATGCCGCTGAAAGGAGCACATCACACTACAACTAAATAAATTGTAATAGTAAAGGCGTGATAGGAAGATATAAGAAATGTGAATAGCTCAGGGCAGAAGAAGAGATGCCACAACTGTTTAGCTCAAAGGATTGGCTTCACTTGTCTCTGACAAGTTTTTGTGTGGTGTTAAGAATGGCGAGACTCATTGACGACGCCAAAGAAACGTCTGAGAATGTACCATGTCCACGGTCCTGCTATGAAAATTATCATGCATACAATGGACTCTGGACTAGGTGCATTCCTCTAAGTCTTCCCACCAATATGACCAAGTTGCGAAAACAAGGTCAAACAACCTCTATACAACGAAAAGAGACTGCAACCACACAAAAGGCCACACCATCTTGGTCTTCATACCTTCGATTAATTGTATATAATTTGTTTAAAAAAGGATAAAAACAATGCAGCTTTGAATAAAAATTGTCCATTATGTAATTGCTTAATACAGATTTTTTCATTGCAAAATTATTATCTTGTTTATAATTCATTTACTAGCCCTCATGCAAAATTAGAGATATTTTCAAATTAAGAGATATATTACAATAGTTTGAGATCCTCGTTTGCCCGTTAAATGCATTTGGGTTAGAGTTGGAATATTTAATTATGTCAGAACAAGTCAGGCAAAATCTAATTTTACATTTATATTGTCATTTCATATTTAGGATTATTTAAAAATAGTATCAATATAAAGTCATCATATTAAACAGAGTAATTATATCCTTATTTCGTGAAAAACTTACCTAGACGATCGCTTTTTTCACCAAGCACCAATTCAATCCCTCTTTCTTTGGCGTTGAGTGGATGAGTTCCTCCGTAGCTTTCATCCCCAAACATTCCATCCGACTCACTAGAAATTGCGCTATCATGGGTCTTAGGCGTGATAAAAGCCTTTGAATGATTCCATTTATTTCCGGTAACAGCTAGTCCCTCGTTTTTTGTCTCGCCTTCTTTAAGACCTTGATTATGGCGATGATGTCCAAGCCAATTGTGGGAGGCTGATTTTAAATGAAAAGGATCGACATTGTTATCTAACACACTTGTGCCCCCCTCAGCAATTCGCTCATTTGAATCGTGTCTGCGATCTCCTCGCAGTAAAGCAAACGGAAGACGAAGACCATTTTGCAAAGAACCAACGAATTGCCTGAGCCATCCACTATCAGCTTTTTTTAAAAGAAAGAGGATACAATATATTATTAAATTATTAAAATTGTCGTTAAAGGTAATTTTGTGCATTATTAAATAATCATTTAAACATTTGCGATCCTTATTAAGCGATTAAATTATACAGAATAAAACCGATAGGAAAGTGTAGCCCTATTATGATGCGATCAACATATCAATCATCAAGCACTTTATTACGAAATCGAAATCAACCTAGTGGAGAATTAGTGAAGCTAACCATGAAGGATTTTTAAAGAAAATTT